TTCATCAGTGTGGAAAAGGTCTGCTCGATTATTAGAAGTGCTGTAGCGCGCTCCATCTGTACCAGTGTGTTCATGTTAGTGTGTCCATTCAGGACTCTCCCTTCATTCTGGATGTGAACCTGGGAGTCATCAGCAGGATCGAATCTATCAGTGTTCCCAACCAAGGAGAGAACAACAAGGGACTGGAGCTGGTCTGCAAGGTACCACTTTAATACACAAGCAGTCACACAAATGCATGATTATATGTGTTAAAACACGTCATCTAACATCTTATAGGCATTTTTAGTTAACAGCAATAAAAGAAAAACCCAGAAAATGTGCAAATGTCTTATTTTGGCGAGTCTGCTGATTGAGCAGTTTCCTGCTTCATGCTTCAGGACATGAGGAGTCCCAGGTTTGCCTATAAGATGGAGGAGAGCCAGCCGGACGTGGTGGAGGTGCTGACCAAACATGCCTTTCCTCTGTCCCACAGTCTGGTCAGTTTGATTCTCTTGTCCTGTATTTACTGCTTTTAACTGACGTGTCACTCAGATCTGCCTCACAACATCCAGTGACAGATAGCAGACGCAAGCACCAACATACAAAATGATAAAGAGGAGCAAAGGTTGGAGGATAGTGAGGAGTTAGCCAGTTAGCTGTAGAAGGCTTTTGGTTGGTCCCATAAGGCAAACTGGTCGTGAGTGAGGGCGATTATAGTAAAAACTGCTGTTTGTTACATCTGCATGACTAATACTGTAACTGTGACTTCCTCCGGCAGCCCTTGTTTGCCTTCCTGTACAAAGAGCAGTTTCCTGTGGACGGCTGGAAGGTGTATGACCCAGCAGCAGAATACAGACGTCAGGTAACTCCACGGGCGCCGTTACTCTACGACTGACATGTTGCCAGTTAACCTCATTTGTTGCAAAATGTTTCTGTTTCTTTTTTAATAGCACTTACTTTTCCAGCATCCTGAACATTTTATGTGTGAACAAGTTACGTGTGTATCAGATTAGTTTTCTGCATTATCCAGACTTTGTTTCTTTCCTCTGCTTGCATGTCTTTTGTCAGGGGCTTCCTAATGAGAGCTGGACCATCAGTAAGATAAACAGCACCTATGAGCTATGTGACACGTATCCTTCCATCCTGGTCATCCCCACCAACATCACAGATGAAGACATCAAACGAGTGGCTGTGTTCAGAGCCAAGCACCGTATACCGGTCAGTCTGAGCACAGATCTGAGGCTTTGCTCTTTATCTCAGAGTAGAACGGGAGGCAGAGCCTTCAGGCTCCCAGCTCCCAGCTTGGATTCGAGGGACAGACAGCGTCTCTACTTTTAAGATTAAAGATA